AGGACAAGTATGCAGCTGGTGTTGTCCCGAATTTCACATGAGCAGAATTTTTTAATTCATATAAAAAGTTGGATGCAGACTTGAAAATTGGCCGCCTCGGAAAAAGGATAGACTGGGGGAGCCGTTTACTTGTACATAGAAATCCTGAGATCTCGATGAACCCATGCTGAGCTCTCTTTTGTTGGGTGGCAAAAATCTTCAGTGTGAAAGAATTGCTTAACAAAATTTATCAACTACTCAACTAAGAATGATGGCTTGCTGAGATTATATTTTAAAACATTATTTTGTATCATTATGGGGTATCCGCTTATATAAATGGCCCTTCATTCTTACCTTTTTCTCGTCCTAAATAATTTGCAGCTATTTCACACTATTCAGAAATAGGATATGGGGAAGCAGCCATTTTAAAATTATTCTATCAAGCGTATGAGGCTAAGCTAGTATCAACTATCGGCAAAATATATTCTAAATACTGATAAAAATGACGTAATCCAGAATCGTGGTAAAGAATGGATATTTGCCTACTTTCACTTGACCAACGTGAAAGGAAAATTAAGTTTACAATCAAATCTTTATGTTAATTAGTTTTCAAGACAACATGCATATCTTGAATAAGAACTATATTTACCCTGATTCATTTAAGATGATGATGTACTGGTAGATGAGTTTTCATAAGGATATGAGTAGGCCTCATGTTCCTAATTAATTTCAAATTGTATTGCTCCATAAAAGGTATTCTTATACAGGATGGATTGCAGTTTCGGCCTTGCCTAGGTCTCATCAGCCCGGCGAAATTCAAACCCGGCTTTTAGCAATGCAGCGTATAGTCACAATGTGCTAACCACTACGCCACACTGCCTAGAATGTCCTTGGTTCACAGAGCAAACGTGAATTTCAAAGGCTAGACCCTTCTATATCATTTTCTGTGGTGAAATTTGTCGATAAAGCAAAGTTGTATTTCCTATAGTAATCGGGTACATTACTGATTTCCGGTTTTAAGTAGGTAGTCGAGACTAGCAATAAATCTTAAGAACAAGTCTGCCCTTTTTCGATACTAAGGTTATTATCGAAGTGGGTACGTTAGACAGAGATGTTTATAGGTAATCAGCATATGCCGATTTTTTTCTAAATGCTCTTTTCAACTATGTTTACAAAACTAAGATTGCTGTTTTAAAAGATATGATTATTAGGATTATGAGGCTTGCAGAATAAAATCATCCTGTCTTCAACCTTAAATTGGTGAGACAAGTCGACCTATCCTCCAAAGATGAGTTGAGCATCAAAATGGCTGCAAAGGGTGCTTGTCCGAACGGCTAGAAATGGCTAAGAACAGGGCTGAGACTGTACATAAGATAGAATGGTCTCAAACACAGAGGTTTGCTGATTATGCTGTCTGCCACGAAACGCAAGATAGAAGAAGCTATTAAAATTAATAGATTAGAGAATACGTTGAATGTGACTAATGGTGGTAGAAAGTTATGTAAAAAATAACTTTCCCCAATTAAAAGACTGATGGAGTGTGTTGAGCTGCCGTGTAAAAAGAGACTCATCTCGTCAGACAAGCGATGCCTTAAACATGATTCTCACTCGTTAAACAGACATGCTAAGTTCATCAACCAAAACGGACGGGCGAGATTATGTAATGACAGCCATGGTTTTCCTCGGGTCATTAAACCGTAATTACCAGGTAGACGTGTTCTGACATGTTACGGACTAACGAAGTCTCGTTCATGCTTTTTCCTTGAGTTAATATATCTTGATGACCCGGTACTTAAGTCAGGCTTTGTTCGAATTAATCTGAGCTGACTGATTTTGCGTACAGACATTACCACACATACGCACGCACATGCAGACACGCTCAAGTATAAAAAAATTATTGAGCTTAATTCCACATAATTGGAAAATTAATTTTTAAATGTCATTCCGTCATGTAACTATGCTTTGGTATATCATAAAATCAGCACATGATGGTTTTCTATTAAGGTCTGTACTCAACTATTTTGTGAAGAGATTCGAAGATATATCCGCCAATAAGACGACGATGGATTCCTCTTGACCAGCTGTCGATTGTCTTTACTAGAGCATTCTTGTTGACGCAGATTCCAAGGCAATCTTCATCGATTCGTGATGAATAAGCTTGAATATGGCTGTAAGGATGATATCATGCTCTGACGATGTCCGTCACATGAAGGACGAAAGATTACCATTTCACTGGAATCGAGGCAGATTGTCTTGGAAAAACTTTAGTAAGGATCTTCCAGTAAAGCCAATCGACTGGTCAAGGGAAATTCGCCGCATCTTCTAGTGGGATAGACATTAAAATCCCTCCATCAGACCCTTTCACTCGAAATGGAAGTGAGCTCAATATTTATAAACTGAGGGGTTCCTTGGAACTCAAATTTTCTTCGCCTATAAGAGAATTACGCAAGCAGTCTATTTAAAATGTCGGAGTACATTACATATTCCTAGTTTATTATTATTTATATACATATATACCGTATTTTACGGCGTATAAGACGACTTTTCACACCATAAATTTCTGCTCCTAAGTGGGAGTCGTCTTATACGCCGAGTGTAGTTTAGGAATCGCTAATTATACTAGGGTTCCGAGTTCCTGTTGTGCCCCTTAACTCCTTAAAAAATCTATATTTTAACTGGAAAAGTCAGGGGGTCGTCTTATACGCCGGAAAATACGGTATATTTTTATATATCTGATCGCGAAATCTCTTACATGTTATAAGCAAAGATACTTCATTAAAATTTTCATAACTTACCAACTTTCTGTAGTTGCATTTAAATCAGCTAGGATGTACTATGTATAATATTTATCTAATTGAGAAGCTTCAGAAACAAGTGTCTCCATAAGTGCGTTTATTCTCACTTATTCACCTTTGTCGACAATGCTTAAGGGACACCGTAACATCTGCAGTGCTAAATAGGCTACGAAGCAGAATAAAGGCTATGCAATGTCTCAATTTGACCTTAAAGTTCCCAAGACCTGCCCTACTCTCCACAAGGTTTTAGCAAATAAGGAGAGAAACCAAGTTTCGAGGACTCAAATAGTTTTACCTCTTCGTAGCTTTAGCTTAGTTGGAATATGCCTCATCCGAAACCAAAGGAAGGATACCTTAGTGTTTTGACTAGATTTGTGTGACATAGTCCTCGGCACGCCAACCTACCAAAACGGTCGGGCGTAAAACCATCCTTTGGAGAGCTTTACCAAGTCCTAGAACAAGGTAATAGGCTGTGATCCGACACTTCTTATACTCTTATTTTGTCCACTTAATAGCCCTCTGATAACTTCAAGCGCAAACACACAGTAAATGCGGTTGTGACCGAAAATATTATTTTTCGCCAAAATCACTCGCATCTTTGATCCTACAATGTTGACGCCCGTAGTGCCCGTCGCGTGTGCTGACTGTGTGCGACGTTCCTGAGTCATATGAGGTGGGCCCAAACCATATTCCGGACTAATTAGGCCCTACCCGCCTTTATAGCAAACCCTTCGGATTAACCTTTGCCTTATTACTTACCACCAGGTTTTTGACCGCCTTGTTCATTTCTATAGACTCCCTAATCTTCGCTTAGTTGTAAATCTTCATATCCTGCGACAAGATTGGCTTAATATCAGAGTATTTGGTGGCCGGCGTAAGTCGCGTTCATCCAGATTCGATTATTGGACCCCCAAACTTTGTACATGGTTTTTGTTGAGTAAACTTCTAATGCATGCGTCGGAAGGCTTCATAAACATAAATGTAATCACATAAACACAAAACAATGTAACATTCTAGCCTGAAGAGGGGGTTCGGAAATTCCTGAAAAGAAGGTAAAACATAGTCATTATGTCTCCATTATTACAATGTCTCACTTTCTTAATCATTCTGACTACCAGAAAAGTCCCAGGACCCATTTTTGCCAAATCTCAGGTCCAAGTGTCCGAGTGTCACAGCATGCGAAAGTATTATGCATGTTATATGGTAGATTTTATAAGTCGATAAGCGTCCTAAGTTTTGGGCATCGAAAAGATTAAGGTGACTTGTTACTTTTCTTTTTGACAAGTTCTAAGTAATTATTATTCCAGCTGAACTATAAGATACCCTCTTACGATCCCTTCTAGCTTTATTTTGGGAACCCAATTTCTCGAAATTTTAAAGCTCAGGAATAGCTATACACCTATGATAGTGGGACATAAGGTGCCTACAAAAAGGTATAGAACAAATTATCACTACAGAACACCGAATATAAGATGATTTAATGCTAAAATTAAGTAAATATTAGAAGATGAAGGGTCAAGCGCATGACTGGGAATCAAATGTAATTATAACGTAGTTACAAAGCAAAGAAGAATATGAATGTGGAAAGATAAGCATCTTCTTGCGAGTAGAAAAAGGAGTAAGTTCTTTCAACAAAGGAAATAGAGGAACAAGTCTCCAAGAAGAAGAAGCATAATCAGCCTCGAAATTGACGTTGACTCTAGCAAACCGACAAGTGAGTATCGCATACCTACGAAAACCAGGTTAATGTAGGAACAGTATTCTTTCATCCTTTACCACACAATCGAGGAATAGTACACAGGCTTAACACTAAGACTAAGCCAATAGAGAGTTTTCAGAGAAAGGATAGCAAGGTTAACACCTTTCAGTCTGCTTAAAGCTCTTTTAATACAAGCAAAGACTTAGCTCTGAGCAGGACTATCACTTATACGAAAGGAGAATGTAGAATATGCCACAATTGTACTTAAATTGACAACCACAAATCAAAATCAATTCTCAGTCACTTTTTAGTAATATAAGTTTATGAATCCTTTCCACCAATATCTTATAAAAAATGCATAAATTCGGAATCAAAATTATAGCATGACCTATGCTAAATAAACTTCAGCTGTAGAGGATGAATAAGTTTTTGTGTGACTTCCATTAGTTCAAAGTCCTTAAAATCTTCCCTGTCCGGTCTTGATCTGTCAAATAAATCGTCTTGATTGGGTTCCCAACAAAATAAAGTTAACTGGGATTCTCGTATCCATTCTTGGTGTAAGAGAGAAGATAAGAGGGTTGGGCATGTTGAAGAATTTGACGAGTACGCTTGACGCCAGCCCGACCATCTCTCGGGCCAGAATTGTCAACACCACCGAGAGCCACAGGCTGCGAGTGTTTATTGATAGGGAGTGTACCTTTAGGTAGGTTTACAAGCCGCGGGTAAGGATTTCCGTAGTGCCGGGCCAAGTCAAGACGTGATTCGACTTCGCGTATGTGGGCCTAAGTTGATGAAAATAAACGTATGAGAAAATAGGTAAAATTCAAGATATAAATAAATGGACCAATGAGCAGTTTATATAATTATTAGAAGAGCTGCTACATCATGGCAAGAACTAGTATGATGCATCAATGAATGTATTAATAATAACAATTCATTCAATAAACGACCAATTAATATTGATCTATTCCTTAGAAAAATAGATAGATTTCACGAGACGAAATACCCACTATAAAAATAATTTCGTTAATTAACATTAGCAGATTACTTCTGATACTTAGCTCGGACGAAGACAGCTCATGAATATTTGGTTTTTAGTAGGCTGTTGTTTAAGGTGATGAAGGACTGTTAATTAAATCTATTGCACAATGATATAGGTAGGACATTTCAGTGAATTTCGCATAGCCTTGCTTGCCAAAAGGTATTCTTATCCAGGGTGATTGTTGAAAAGATCAACTGTCAGGCCTTAAACCAGCCTAAGTGAACTTGAGGAAAATATGTATTATTAGAAAATTAGTGATTGTGTCCAAACTACTTAAAAATAAAATAAGTAAAAGAGGACATGATTTATCAATCGAAAGTGTAAAGATTAAAGTAGTTTGGCTTTTAGTATGGTTACGGGCTTATTTCGTGGTATATAAGTGGCTTGGCCTCGTTTTCGCAACTTGGTCGCATTCTCAGGGGCTTCAATAAATGCACCATTTCCGGATTACTCTGTCATAGTAGCCCTGACGATTTCCAGCGTTGACCCATTGACTAGATACATCCCAAAACGTTGCGCGAGCATCTTCAGTGAGCTTTGTCAGTCTTAGCAACACTCTACAATCAGTCAGTGAGAGATGAAGTCCATCCTTTGGCCAATTATTTAATGGATGATTTTTGTATCTCTCCTTTTGTCCTCATTTTGCCTAGTTTGGTAGCACAATTAATAACTTGCTTATTTTAAAAGTGGGTTGACTTCCTTATCGCAACTTGGTCGTGTTATTGGGTCTACTTGGTTGAATGCATCTTGTCCGAAATCCTCACTTATATTAAGTAACAATTGCCAGTGTCAGATCGTGAATTTTGCCATTCTCAACACCAGGCTAAAACTCACTGGCGATACCGGCGAAATGTACCAAGTCCACGATCAGACGCTGGAAATCATGGTGATTACTATAGCAGAGGACTTCGGACAAAGTTTGCAAAACTAATCGAAGGTACGAAGACCAAGAGGGTGTGGCCTTTTGTTTAGTCGCAGTCTCCTTTCGTTGTATAGAGGTTGTTTGACCTTGTTTTCGTAACTCGATCATATTGATAGGAAGACTTAGAGGAACGCACCTAGTCCGGAGTCCATTGTATGCACGATCATTTCCAAAGTCAGACCACGTTGACGGTCCGACTAGGTGCGTTCCTTTAAGTCTTCCTGCTAATAGGACCAAGTAGCGAAAACAAGGTTAAACAATTGTCAAACTAAGTTGCCCTGACACCACAACGCGGTCAGCCAACATTATACATCGAAAGGAGACTGAGATTATACCAAAGGCTACATTATCTTGGCTCCTATAACTTGCTTATTTTAATCTAATCCCACTCTGTCCAAAGCCTCGAGCCTTAAGTCTCTAGCTTCACTAGGCAGGTCCCCAAAGTCTTGATTCTCCAGGTGGATGAAAAACTAACTAACGCTGCAATTTTTCTTATCCTCGTACGGCATGTTCATTCAATAATCTCATGTTCAAGCCTTTACAGCACGGACCTATTTAAATTAATAGATTAGGGAATGCGTTGAATGTAAATAGTGGTAAAAATTTGAGCAAGAATTACTTATCCAAGGTATGAAGACCAAGATGGTGTGGCATTGTGTGCAGTTGCAATTGCCTTTCGTTGTATAGAGGTTGTTTGACCTTGTTTTCGCAACATGGTCATATTGGTAGGAAGACTTATTG